CTGATTGAAGACGCGAACATCACGTGCAACCGTGATAGCCTGGAACATCGAAGAAAGGTTGAAGATTTTTGTCTCTTCTATTTATACATTCACGCGAAGAGTTCAAGTGACCAAGAGTGGTACATATCAGAAATACGCGACAAACTGTGGCTGCTCATCATTTTGAGATTCAACTCAGTAGACCTAGAACTTCACTGTTTAAGAACTACGTTTACATGGAATCAACTTCCTGAGAACGAGAACAGGACAACTATGAAGCCACCAACGTCATCAACATAAGTTCCTGCCCTCTCACGGACATAGATAAATCTTTGTTGAGGAAAGGTCCAAACTTTGCCATTGCACCTACATCTGTGCCCACTTTGTAAATGATAACTGCAGTAGAATCCACCAGTTCCCTTATGGATCAGATCGAGGCAGAAGAATTCAGATGGAAAATCAGAGAACAGCTAGATCGAGAACCAGTTCCAACTTCTAACGTTAGCAATGAAGAACGAAGAGCCCTGAACAAGCTACGTAGAGACAACACCATCAAGATTTTACCTGCAGATAAGGGAAACGCTACTGTTGTGATGGATACTGATCTCTATGAACAGAAAATCGAAGAGGTGCTTCAGAAAGGAAAATACACGAAGATCGTGAGAGACCCTACTGCAACAATTGAGAGGAAGTTGTACCAGACTTTGAAAAGATACCAAATCTATTTTTCAGAAAAAGAGAGATAATTGCTAACACCGCACCACAGTAAGCCCCCTCACTTGTATGGACTACCCAAAATCCACAAAAAGGATGTTCCGCTCAGACCGAACATTAGCTCCAGAGATTCAGCTATCCAGAACTTGTCCAGATTTTTACTACCAATAATTGAACCACTGCAAGGTAAAACATCATCTTTTGTGAAAAATTCAAGGCATTTCGTTGAACTACTAGGGGAAATCGAAGTCAAAGAGCAGGATCAACTGATTAGTTTCGACGTGGAAAGCCTCTACACCAATGTTCCTGTCGAAGAAGCATATGGAGTGGTTTGAAACTCTGGCCATTGAAGAAGCCCACAAGAAGCCCCGAGTCTGGTTGAGATACGTACACGAAACCTTCATAATATGGAACCATGGGAATGCAGAACCAGACACTTTTCTGAAGCACATCAACGTGAGTCCTTCCATCACTTCCACAATGGAGAAGGAAGTCCACAACGAATTGCCATTCTTAGACGTATTGGTGAAGAGGACCGACACTAAATGGAAAACATCTGTATATCGAAAACCCACTCACACAGGACAGTATCTGAACCAGAAATCCAACCACCATCAATCGACTAAGAGAGGAATCATCAAGACTCTACTAGACCGTGCTTTCGAGCTCTGTAATACAAAGGAAGGTCTTGAAGAGGAACTAGGCATTATCAAAAATAACCTTCAACGGAATGGTAAAACAGGCTTCAGCTAGAAGACAGCAAGAGCTCCACAAGGAAGGGAAGCCGCCACAACCAGTACTTGTACTTCCCTACATCAGAGGATTATCGGAAAGGATAATAAGGATTGGGTCCGAGTATAACATCGGGACCTGCTTCAGATCTGGGAACACTATCCGTAGCAGCCTCACGAAAACCAGGGCCACCAAACGCGGACTGCGATTCCGAGAATTGCATTTACCGGGAAAGTTCGCATTGCTCAGCACAAGAAACACACACAGCGAGAAGAAATCAGCAATTCCGGAATAGCAGAGTATGTTTGGACTCATCAACACAACATCAAGTAGGCTCAAGCTAAAATCATCCACAAATAGGAACACTGGTTTAGGAGAAATTTCGAAGAAGCCGCGTATATGTTAGTCAAGCTAGCGTAGAGATACGTAACATATGGAATCCTCTATTCAAGAGAAAAATGACCAACTCCCGCCAAACAGTCATCTCCCTCTAAAACCAATTGAGCGGAGAGAGGGAAGAGGGGATAGGTGAAAGCAGTCGAATGACCTATAGTCAGATTTCGGAGGAATAAGTCTAGTTATCACTCGAAGACGATTGTGGATACTAACAATCGAAACGTCGTGACATAACTTGGTTTGGAATTTTTTAATTTTCATTTTTCATTTTCGTTAATAATATTTTTTTCAATTCTCAGCCTTTATTAATATTTAAATTCGTTTTGGTTGTTGCTTGTATGTCATTTCTTTGTAATTACACCACGAAACATTGTCAACCACCTCCAAACAAACCTTCCTGAGAACTTGCTTGTGTTTTTTCCTTGAAAAAAAGAAATAACAAGTGAAGAAAAGATAATTGAAACTCTCTATGTTTTTTGTCTCTTTTATTTGTAACTGACGTTACTGCAGTTTCTTCCTATAAGGACATTTTCAAACGTGTACATTAAAAATGTCCTTATAGGACGAAACTACAGTAACGTTAGTTACATAGAAAGTTTCAATATTCTTTTCTTCATTATGCTCTCCTACCACGTAGTAACGGATACATCCATCAATTTATGAACATAACAAGTAGTTTTCCTGTACGTGAACACATCATTCATATTTCTTTGTGATATAAGATTAGCTAATAGTTTCTCTACCATGGCGATTGTGCCAATGGCAAAACCAATTAGCGAACAATCGCTTTTATGACAAGTTTAAATCAAACAATGTTCATTTCGTTTTGATATTCGTGAATTCTATTGACATAGCGCTAATTGATAGTCCAATTTACTCCAATTATGTTCGTTTCGATTGAAAATTTCAATCAATTGCCTTTCACAAAAGACTAGAGCGATAAATGGTGACTTTCTTCTTGAATACTATAATTGAGATCGGTATGTTCAATTGGAATTTTTTTTGTTTGTGACTTCTTGAAAAAATTAATTTGAATATTTTTGCAAATCACTCGCTTTCTATTTTCGAATTATTGAAAGTATTTTGAAACTCTATAAGCAAATTAATAGATGGAGATTCGCTCAGCATATGACTGACTCTATTCAACTCAAAAAAGAAAAGTTTTCTGAATGGTACCAACCTAGTTTTTCATTCGAAACTTCTGATACTCAAAGTCAATCATTTTCACCATGTCCATTAATGAATATGGCAGTAGCGTTACATCGATGATAACTTCTCTATAGATTGAATAAAGGAGAATTGAAACTTTCTATGTTTTCTACCATTTTTATAGAGTATAAAAGTTGTGAAAAACATAGAAAGTTCCAATTCTCTTTTCTTCATCATAATTTCCTACCCCGTACTAACAACGGCTACATCCATCAATTTATTTATGAGCTTCTTGGGTCAAGCTGATCAATCTTATTTCACCAAATGTGCTTTTCAATATCTATTATCATTGGAAGTATGATTGATATGCTTCGAACCGCCATTATTTCCTATCCAAGTGTTATATTTCATCCGGTATAATTATCAGCTACAGAATGGGCTTTTCAAAAAGTAGCGGAAATGTCAGAGAAAGGATTTTTCTACAGGGTAGTGTCGTAGGCCCGCTGTTGTATACTATTCACACAACCAATTTAGATTTTCAGTTATTGCAGTGTAAATAGCACCTAAATGCTGTTGGTGCACATAATGCGAACATGATGATCAATTTTGACTCAATTACCCTTGTGTTATTATCCCAGTAACATCCAACAGAAGTCCCACGCTATCATGTGCTATCATTTTTCGAAATGAAAGCCAACAATCTGCAGCTTGGAACAAATTGGAAATCACCATGAGTCACTGAAAATGAGCGATCCGGTTAGAAATCTATCATAGATTATAATTTGCGTATTGATAATAATGTCACTTATAAACTGACACCAGCATATCAGGTGCATATCGAACCCAAAACTTCGTCTTCGACTGATCCATGAATTGAGTAGAAAACATAGAATATCGCTGGTTCAGTATTTAGATTTCATTCTCACGGCCTCTGCTATGAAATACTGCCTAAGTATCTAGCTATAAAAGTAACACCACGTTCAATCAACAACAATTTGGAAGAATACGAGTGTAATTGATATTTCACATCATAAAATTCAATTTGTTCTAAATCAACTCCACATATCAAATCGCGACGTATCTAATTTTTCTCGATCTATCATCAACTCTTTCTTCAGCAACAATTTTTCCCCACTTCCATTTGCAGTAATAACAAAAGTGAACTATCAGTAATAACAAAAATCACGTAGATAGCCGTAAACCACCATATGCTTGAATATTTGGAAGGCTTCAACATCTTGAGCGATTATCAATATGCTTTTCGGAAACAAAGATCAACAGGCAACCTTCTATTGTACGTTACCCGTATTTGGGGTCGATAGCTATTGTGCTTGATATTCTTAATGCCTTTGACCGTGTGTGGCATGAGGGATTGCTGGCCAAATTTCGATTCTATGGCTTGTCGAATCATTTTCACGTATAGCTTCCAAGCTTCCTGCTTAAAGCCTTAAAGCGCCTTAAAGATTTTCCTGTAGTGCTTGTGTTCTGTTTTCGAAAAAAAAAATCATTGAAATAATATTATTCTCATTCTTTCGGGTAACAAAATATTATATCATGTTTTATATCACAATAACTGAATGAATTTCTATTCAATGTAATTTTATTGGTTGGAAATGAAATTATTATCATTGCGTTTCCAAATAACACGACAGGACAAACCGTTGTCACATATTTTATGGCAAATGCGGTGTCACTTATAAACTTCCATTGATGAATAGTTACATGTCTTCAAAATAAGTCAGATGGATTACGATACACAATACATTTTTGTCTCCATCAGGAAACAGCCAAAGTTTGGCCGAGGTTTCAGTTTACTATGGACTCCTTGGTGAAGGTTCCGGTTTCTCAAAAACCACGACCAGAAAAGTAAACATCAGCCTGTTTCGAAATGCAATCAGGGCCGTACTTACCCTTTCAGTGACACTAGCAAAACTTCTCAGTTCCTGAAAATTACAATTTCCAGAACATTGTAATGTTATACAGTGATTGAACAATGCATTGGTCATTGTTGAAAATAATTTTTGTTGCAGATTCACAATCCGGTCAGTCTCACCATCAACGAAACAGAAGCTGTTCAGCAGAAACGCCTTAGAGTCGACATTCATGAGCAGTAAACTTCAAATGGGCGTCGTCACTTTCTGCAAAGCTTTTCCCTGGCATTTTGTATTAGGTCAGTAGTTACTTCTTTTATCACTCTTTGATTTTTTTCATCATATGTATATGACCGGAATGTTCATTTTCCTTGTGAATCTCCATAAAGAGTTCTGAAGTCCAACATGCTAATTTTGTCACTAGATTTTCCAAAAAGTCACAAAATTTGTCCAGAAAATTCTAAATTTGTCTGAAAAGTGTAAAATTTTCGTGAAAAGTAATCAGATTTCTTCAGAGAGATCCTAGATTCATTCAAAAAGTCACTAGATTTTTCCCTCCAAATTCATGTATGAGAGTACGAGTAATAAATCCAACTTGTTGATGTTATCACTAGATTTATTGAAAATTCTGTTAGAATTTAACAAAAATTCATTATATTTACTGAAATTTATTTGAATTGCTAACGATTTTATCACTGGAATTATAGGAAAAAACACTAGTTTCCGTTCATTGAAATTTTATTGAATACAATGAATTTATCGTAACGATATTAACAGGATTTAAATTAATTCAGAACAGATATTTTGTGAAAATTCAGTAAATATAATGAATTTTCGGTAAATTCAGTAGAAAAATCAACAAAAACTAGTGAACTTTCATTGAATCTAGAAAAACAATCGATAGAAATTCAATGGAATTTCAGTGAATATAATGAAGTTGTGCTAAATTTAGTAACAAAATCAACAGTACTTCGACAGATCGAGTGTCTTTTTAATGAATCTAGTAACAAATTTCACGAGTTGGATTCTCATTATATAAATTTGGAATAAAAATATAGTGACTTTTTGGGAAATCTAGTTACTTTTTGGTGAGATCTTACGACTGTTCACAAAAATATACTGACTTTTCAGGCAATAAATCAAGTGACTTTTTTTGGAAATCTAGTAGCAAAATCAACATGTAGGTCCTTAAATTTCTTTTTGGAGACTCGAATGGGAAAATGTGCAGTTCGGTCCTCGTATCTACTCTAACTGTTTTGAAATTGGATTCCAGATCGTCGTCTAGAACTGGTGCAGCTAGGCAGTGGTTTCATGCGCCTTTTTGGACAATTCCTGTCTACCCACGGAACCTCCGTTGCCACGTACTTCGAATTCCACCGACCACGCAGCATCACGCTAGCTTTCAACGAGATCATCAAAAGAGCTAATACTCCTTTCGTTTTAGCTATCCGGGAACTTCCTGGAGCCACCTTGTTTCCTGCTGAGGTATGTGAGTCATCTTTGTAATTTTCTTTCCTATTGAAAATCTAACAGCAAAATGACATTTATGAATAAATATGAATATGGAAAAATATGTTTTTGTTTGATGAGAAATACCTGGTAACTGAATAAATGAAATACCTAATCGTATGTGAAAAGTGAAATCTACCCAGTTCATGGCCCAGTAATTATGATCTATTTTCCTTGCCCACAGATACTTTTCTCAGTATCTGTGAATGTCGTAGACATATACTTCGATTCTGGTTCCTTATAACTGAGTTTGGTACTCTCATAGCTGGCCTGGGAATCATATATTGTGCACACACATTCTTGTGTGTGCACATACGTTCTTGGTATACCCAATATGGAATCAATCTGTTCTTTTCCTGCATTTTCTTTTATTCTTCCCAGCATTCCAGATCAGTACGTTTTCAAGTTCTTTTTATTTGACGACTCTCATTAAAAATCTTCTTCTCAATTCCAAAACTCGTTTTGCCAAAATGATTTTTTCTTTCGATTCCACCTTGGTTCTCATTGAAAGATAGTTATCAGAAGCAGAAGTGTTACTATGTACTTTCACCTTCGAACTACGATGTTTTCTCCAAATCTTGAGTAACTCATTTCCAATTCAACCAATGGAAAAGCATTGTGGCATTGTGGTTAGTCGGTAGCCAAGCGGTTTGGCGTAGGTGCTTTGTTCACTCACTCGAATTGACTGCCGTGTTGGTCGGTGGTTCAAGCCCTAGTCTGAACGATCGATCTTCACTTGCTACCGTCCAACCCGTGTTAGGAATCACACGTTAAAAGGTAAGACCTCGTTAATCCTTAGCTCGCACAAGTTTCGACTTCTGAGGGTTGTCGTTCGTAGGGGTGCGACAGCTGGTTAACGCAAAAACATATTTTAAACAGATTTTTTTATCAGTTGTCACACCTAATGACTGTAACGCTCGTAATTGAGTCTCCAAACTGCCCCAAACATAACGAGTTTGAACTATAAGGCCCATTTTTGGTTCAATCCAGCGCCACTGATGGGACCTATTGCGGGTCAAAACAGCGCAACCTGGTATTGGATCAAGACCTTGTATGTAAACAGATCTCTTCGGCGGTCTATGCCGAAGCTTGGATTTGTTTTTAACTGCCTTATGGAGCCTCGTTCTTTTTTTATATTCGAGGACTGAGTACTCTATCGATCCCATAAATAACGTCTCCGTAAGGAGATATATCGTTGCCCTTCTTTTTTTATGCTTGTTCATCAAACTAGCAACACTGATGAGACCAATGGCGGGTCTAAACAGTGCTGTCTGGTAATGAATTATAAATGCGTTGTGTTTGGGCTCTGGATCAATCAACATTGATGGATCTTTGATTCGAAAAGTTTCGCTAGGTTCTTGTTGTTATTTAATCAACTTCATTTTTTGTTCCTTCATCAGAATCAGCTCTATTACAGGTTATACTTGTACGAGTATGTGTGTGAATAATTGAAGTTGTTATGATCAATTTATAGTTTTAGTAAAACGATATAAATGATAAGCAATTCACAACCACATTATTTATATTCATGAATGAAGGGAAGAGTACATGGTGTCGGAAGGGCCCTTAATTAATTTCAACTCAATTTCACGCCATCCTCGAAGAAGAATTTGGCAAATAAATATCACACTGTCCGGTTCAAGGTGCTTTCAGTCTACTAAAATTTTCATTATATTTCAGAGCTCTCTCCAGAATTATTCTCAAATTTCCACATCCAACTCTAGAACTCCACTCATCGCCCCCTTTTTCAATATATCACTTCCCAGAACAAACTTCTATAAAATCATAAACTTTTTCGTGTTGGCATATTCGAGTTCATGATGAATAATTTCAACCAGTTGGATCAACTTCAATCCCTTCAACGTCAATCTCGAAAACGTTATGACAGACTCTGATACAGCTTATTTTGTGCTGTGATGGAGAAAATATTGAACATACTGGTCCGGCATTAAATTTGAAATGAATGAATCGTCGAATGGACCTGTATTCAGTCGTGGAATGAAAAAAATCAGTAGGGTGAAAATATTGATCGTAATACGTGAGTTATTCTAAACAAGAAAAATCTAGCGGCGACAAAAGCTTCCACTAGATAAAAATTATGTTTGAAGTAGGATATGTTCCGATATGTCAAAAGTTAAACTTTCGACCCAGCAGATTTCTCACCAGTTCAACTGAGGAAACTACTATGTAGTGAAACGCTTATTGGAAATAAAGTCTATATTGTGGAAATTCGTAATATTTCTCATGAACAGTGTTATCAATTTTCAACAAATGAAAGGAGAGTATATTTCAAATTTGAAATAACTTTCGAGCTATGAACATAACCTGCATTTCTATATCGATTACTGTCTGGGGTATTTGGCTTCGACCAGGGAGTTGGTAGGAGATCTGGTGATATTCGAAATAATAAGATCAGCTTCAATTCGAAAGAGGTAAACAGATTTTTATTGGGAACATATTTCAACTTTTCAGTTTGATTTATCTATAAACGAACATTTTTCATTTTATCACCTAGGGTATATTTTCTGATTGTTTATTGGAGAGCAAGCTACGTAGAGTTGACCATGAGAAAAACAGGAGTTTTCGAAGTTGATTGCACTTCGCTGGAAAGAAACTTGCGAGCGAATCTCCCTCCTTATACGTACCAATGAGTAGACCCACCTATACATAAAAGATGAATTCGAAAATCCAGTTGTTCTCCAACCAGATAGTGCGCCCCCCGCCCAATGCATGTGAATGGTAGGCGAGGTCCGTTAAAATGACCTCCTCGTCCTCCAGATTTGACTCCTCTCGAGTTTTTTCTTTTGCAGCTTTGTCAAATCGAAAGTTGATATCACGCAACCTGGGACACTACGGGAACATAGAGACAGAATTACCGAAACTTCTGCTAGTATAACCCCAGACGATTTTACTTTTCTGATTGAATTGGCTGTAACTTAATAGAGATCCATGGTAACAAAAAAATGTGAGCATCTTTCAAAGAAAGGAAGGAAGCAATTAAATTCAGAAAAAGTAACTATACACAAATGTGCAGATCATACCAAGAAGAAACTTCCACATACAAACTGAAAGAAAAGCCCTCTTGACACAGCTACTTTCATAAAAACATGAATCTCATGAAAGAAAAATACTTTCGAAACAAATATTTTCATATGAACACTGATTTTTACAAAAAACACTTTCCTTCATTCAGTTTTTATTCCAAACATTCGTATATGGAATTGAATCAGATATCATACACAGGAATCCTACACAATATAATTATAAAAGAGGTAAAATTTCACTTACATGGAAGACTGTCATTCTCACTTGTAGACATCCGATAATTCGCCGTAAGAAAGTTGAAATCCCAAACCTTTCTTTCCCAAAAATTATTTGCTCCTTAAAATATATCACTTTCAATTTAAATATATTTTTGAGTTTCCGCTGGTCAAGCCCTATCCCCGAAGCCCCGATACATGTGCCCTGAGCAATAATGACTGCCTTCTTCATTAATCCGGCTGAAATTTCTGCCTCAGTGCGGCAAGCCGGTATGATTTTGAGATTCGAGAGTAGAGAGAACATCATTCCACCAAGGACTCTAATAATCAGAACAACCATCTTGACAGAGTGGTCTGGATAGAGTCTGCGGAGTTCGAAGAGAAAATCTCGATATTTTATCCGTTTTTCCTCCTCTTTTTTGACGATATTCGTCTCTCCAGGAGCTGAAAACTCCACGACAAATATCGTCTTGCTCTGGTGGTCGAGAAGGACTACATCAGGCCTATTAGCTTGTATGAGCCTGAGGATGGTGAACGAACAGTTCCAATACATTCGGCGTCTCTCGTTTCCCACGACGGATTCAATGTCCCTCGGAGCGTAGGGTAACACCGGTGTCTCTTCAGTACTGTTAGAGTGTCGTAGATGGTGATGAAGCATTCTTAGAGCCGCGGATATAGGCCGACACCGCATATGCATATGCCGGATATGCCGACAGGATTATATTATTATTATTATTTTCATTATCATACCAGCATTGTGATGAAAAATGAGTGAGAAATCCATACCAAAAGTCTCTTTAATCCTGGCTCATCTTCAGAAAACTTCGATACACAGTTCGTAATGTACAGAATAATCAAAGGCTATCTCAAAGTTGTGGCATTCGCAGCAGCTGCCGTTTGCCCATGTAATAAAATACCTCGTTAATCGTAACTTCATCAAGAAATAATGATTTCATTCTGCGAGTTCGCTCGGTTGGTTTTAGGATTATACTTTCGAATTCGTGTTCGGAATCGAGATTGGTATTAGTACAAGAAAAGAAGCACAAAAATTGCTGCGAGCGGGACAGGCGACCACTATTCATATAGAGCTTTGGTTGGAAACTATAAAGGTCTTTCATTAGACGCTTCCTATCTTCAAATTCAAATGAAACGAAGTGTGTGTGGGATATCATCGAAATTTTTATTCGTTTGATTCCATTATGTGTGGAATATGACAAATGTCCGCCACGGCTTCTCTGGGTGGAGCGAATTCGAAATGGTATGGGTTATATTGGCTTTGAGGACCGCTGTGTTTTGCGGATTATTCGCACCCATTATACACCCTATTCACCCTGTATACTATACCCACTATACCCAAATCGTTCGTGCGAAATATAAAATGTGGCATGAGCAGTGTGACACATAGCACCATTCTGTTGAAACCACATGTCGTTGGTGTCCGGATCATACAATTCAGGCCAAAGTTGGTAATAATCGACCGACAGTACTCGCCGTCGTTCTCGAAGAAATGTGGACCAATAACGCCACCAGCCCAAAATCCATATCAAACAATGACATTTTCAAGATGCATTGGTCGCTCTTGGATCTCATGTAGATTAATTAGGATCATCGCAAATTTAATTTGTTCTCGTAGCCATTCATCCAGAAATAGGCTTCATCGCTAAATATGATTTCTCGATGAAAATACGGATCAGTTGCCATCTGCTCAAGATCTCA